AGAATCCGATCCAGCATCATCAAATTTTAGATCTCGCCTTACATTACTGAAGTAACTTTGTCCAGGTGCTTAGGTTCTGTATACATGAAATTTGATACAATACATACACCCAGAAGGTTTATAATATATTTTGCAGTTCAAGTTAATATGCTTTAATTTTTTTGTTGGAGTAATCTGTGCATATTGATGGACTGGACAATTATACTGCAACCGTTCTGAATAGAATGCTATAGCATGTAAAAATGTGGTGGACTAGTTTGATCTGTAATGACCTGAATTATGAGCTATTAGGTTTCAAGAAGTGCAATCTTGCTAAATTATAACAATTCAGAAATCAAAATAGTAACCATGAAAAATGTACACATCAAAAATGTGTGTGATTCTACCTTACATGTTTAAAAGATTAGTTCTACACTCTATGATGAGGTTTATTTTTAAAATCACATGTCTTTTGTCTAAAACAGAGTATTACTATAAGACTCCTGCGTCGATACTACTTGCCTCTTACTTTAAAGAAATTCAGTAAGAGCCTACTTCGTATGTCTCAGCTTAGCTGATATTTGATCCCAATTACTCATTCACTAATACATTTCATTAAGTGATAAATATGTTATGTGTAAATTAACCTTGCATTTAAGTAAAAGCTACACTCAGCATTCATATTACAAAGCTAGTTATCTACATGCAAATTCTGAGAGCAATGTTAGCTATGATGGATTTATTGAAGTACATGCAAACAAGATAGATTATACAGGGTGAGGCAGCATAATTTCTTTTTAAATGCGCGCCATTCAGTTGGTTGATGACGTAGCGGAGCGCTAGTGGTCTTGTCCGCGAGGCGGGAGTATAAAGTTTTGTCCTGACACATTTCAGTCACCATCATGCGTTGAAACAGTGAGGAGCATGCTTGTGCCGTTGAAGACTACTTTTCGAGCGGATTTGGAGTGGCCAGCCCGCTCTCCAGATTTGGCCCCTTGTGATTTTTTTCTATGGGGTTTTCTGAAATCCTGTGTTTATGTGAACCGTCCAAGGACCTTACAGGATTTAAAGACCAATATCCAGGAAGAAATTGCCAATGTAACGCCTGCTATGCTGGCAGGAGCCGTGACAAATGCCAGAAATCGGTTTACTCAGTGAATGGAGAATGGAGGACATCACCTACCTAATTTGATCTTCAAAACAACGTAAAACAAAACTTTAGGTATGCACCTACATTATAAAAAAAAATCTGATTCATAAAATGGGTTTTATTAAGTTTTGAAAAAAGGAAGTTATGCTTCCTCACCCTGTATGTGACTGCTCTAATAATTTTTAACTAAGTGGAAAATTCTTGAACTCCAGTATTCCTCTCAGCACACTTAGCATATGGGTTGATTGTGTCTATTCACTGCAGGATTTCTAGGCAGCAAGACAAAAAGAAATACGTAATCTATTACAAATGTGTCACAATAAGGGTTTTGTTGTGGAATGTTTTTTCTACATCTGTGAATAACTGGTATAACAAAAACTGTCAAGAGTTACCGAGATGAGTTATATACCCCAAAAGGTAAATACAACAGAACATTATGATAGGGCTCTAAGTGGTTTGTAGTTAACACAAGTTTCCATTTTTTTATTGTTTAACAGCATTGGCTGAGATGAGGCTTCAAGCAAAACCGCAAACCAGATTCCACAATTTTAGTTCTTATGCTGTTGAGAAAAAGCTTACAGATGTGCTGAAATGCGTGTTTTAATCTGACATCTCCATGCTCAGCTTCCTGTAATGCCTACATTTCTTCAAATATATATTACAAAAGAAGGGTGGAGTGAGAAAGTGTTTACTATATTAATGCTTCTTCAACAGTCATGTGTCAGACTGTCAATTTTCCCCAGTGTGCTAGGGACCAGTACCATACCTGTGCCATTGGCTGCAACTGTTTCTTTACTGGAGACTTGTCATGGACAGGCAGCTGATGGCCCACGGAACACCTGTCCACATTTGGTCATATAGTAAGCAGTCCAGCAAGGGGCTAAAAATGAAACAGCGTTTGGGTTAAAGCAGGCAGAATGTATTTCCACTTCACACAATTAACACCCTATAGGAGCTTCATTTCAAACAGAAATAACTTAATTTTCAACCTTCATTTCAACCAAGAGAACTGTCCATCCGTCTAAGCTCTTTTTTCTTAAACCCAGTACAAAGCTACAGATCCAATACATTCACAAAATGTTTTAACGATCTGCCTCTGGATTTTGTCCTCCTGTTTGATTATGCCAACAAGCTGTGATACACCCATAAATGAAGAAAGATTTAAGTAAATGGCTAGTTTTGTCAAGATCCATGCTAGAACCTTGGGCTGCTATCTGGTTTGCTGGCATTTTTGTCGATGTAGCTACAACACAGCGGCAAAGGTAAATGACCAGATACCGCAGTGAAGAGAATGGAAATGTCTCAAGAAGTTGCACTAAGTTTCCAAACTGTTCAGGAGCTGACAAGGTATTATCTTGTGTTGGCAAAAGATGCTTCTCTCTTCTGTACCTTTGCAACCACTGTGCATCATTCCAAAGACTATCTTACCTAGGTGTAGTGGAACATCATCACTGCAGAAATCACCAACAGGATTCCAGTCCTGATCTTCAATGCTCCGTTCCCCTTTCAGATTACAATGTTATACTCACTCTACCTCTTCTATTACCCAATACAAAGGCACCACACCTAGTATCTTTATATTGTAAGAACAGAGCAAACATCAGTACTGTGGAAATTGAAGTAATAGAATTTGATAGATTTCTGTTAAGATACTTGCACTTCCTTCTGTTAAATTTTGGAAAAACTCGAAAGGAAATACAACTGCAAGTGAAGATAAATACACAGCTTTCCTTCTGTAACCGTCACAAGAATAATCTGGCTAAAAGTAAGTCTGTTGGACAAAACTGATGCATTGGCCTCACAAAACAGAAATGAACTGTAGAATTTGATCAGTTCTTCTTATATCTACATATACAGAAGGGCTTCACAATACAGTCAGGCCTTCACGTTCACTTGGGTTAGACGTGAGGGGGGACGACTGTACTGGTAAGCAGAAATACTACCATTAAACCTTAGAGCTGCCGCAAACTAGGTTCCTGCGGGAGAAAACCTTGCTAGCAAGTCCCTGACGTCATGAGCCTGCGCCTCTCTCCCCGCCCCTTTCTCTTTGCCAGCGTGGTTTTTCCTTTGCTAGGGCAGCATTGCCCGCATTTTCTCTCAGTTGAATTCTGCCAACTGAGAGAGTACCCTGGCAATGCTGCCCTAGCAAAGGAAAAACCACTCTCGCACGGAGAAAGGGGTGGAGAAAGGGACGGGGCGAGAGGCGGAGTCTCGTGACGTCAGGGACGTGCTAGCAAGGTTTTCTCCCGCAGGAACCTAGTTTGCGATGGGTCTTAAGCAGTCTCTTCAGGTTTATTTTTTCCATTCATTACACATGGTACAGGGACAAACTTGCACCAAATCATTTAAAAGCCCACAATATTTTTTAAAGATCATTGTGAAATTCCCAGGCCAAACAGAACCACTTTTACTGCAGTAACTAGCAGCAAGGCCAAATTAAATAGCCTACAAGTACCAGAACCTGCCTAATCTTAGAAGCTAAGCAGAGGCTAATACTTGGAAGGGAAACCATTTGCTAATGCTAGACAAGGTAGACTATATTCAGAGAACGGCAACAGCAAATCTCCTTTGAATAAATGCTGCTGAAAAATACATGAGTGTCACCATAAGGTGAAGTCAACTTAAAGGCACAATACTACCAGTGATGGCATACTACAATGATGCTCTTCTGGAGGCTTTACTCAGGATACCCACTACAAACATCTAAATTTTAGTGCCCCAAAAAGTGAACTGCAAAGGCCTGAACAAAGCAGAATATAAGAACAATGCCATATTCTTTAATTACTAGAGAAGGTAATTCCATTCTCTTGGAGAGATCTTCACAGCAAATATCACCACATGCACTAATGTTATGTATTAGTACATCAGAAAAAAGCTCTAATTTCTCTCTAGATTTTCATTCTTAAATATAAAATCAAATCCCAATGCCATTTCCTTACTATTGAAGATAACATTGGGAATGGAGACCTCAAAAGAAATGGGGCTATTATATCAAAACATAATTAAATCTGCTAAACAGAATCCATAAACTCCATGATGTCTAACCTATGAGCAAGGTTTCTTATCTTCCTTCTAAAGGACAAGGACACCAGCAAACTGAGACTAGCTAATATTTGAAGAAGTGTAGCTTATTTTCCTAAACATGATTAAACACACCCAACTTCTTTGAAGTAGTATTTGTCTTAGATTTTATCACACTCTATGGTCTAAATGCTCTTGAAGATCGCTTCCCACTGTAGTCACTTTTTCATTAAAGGGGCTCTGTAAAACATGCAATCCTCCACACATAACTTTATGAAGTACTACTGTGCTCGATGTGTATGTGCTAAAAATCCATAGACAATTAAATATAATTGCATACTTTTCCCTACATATACTGTATTGTGCAGGAGGAAAAGAAAATGTAAGCAGTGAAAGAATTTCTCCTCTTAAAGCTAGTAACAAGCTGGTTAAAAAACACACACAGCCACAAAGTCATGACAATGTATTAATTGGCATTCACTAAAATATCTGTTTGTACTTAGAGCAAATCCTATTAGCTAAAGGACCATGTTATTTCAGATGCAATGAACTGTATAAGTTGTCAGAAACTAAGTTCACAGCAGAAGTAAATGTGGACTTGCTTTAGTCAGCACAAACATGTATCAAACTGCAAAGCCCTGTTCAACATTGCACAAACTTTTTTAAAAGTCTGCTTGATCAGATAAGCTTTACAAGATCACCTAGATCAAGTTTTGGTACCTAAATATTTTCTAAAAGTTTGAGCTAGCAAACTGGCCTCAATAGGAAGTAGCCCATAGAAGGCCATCCTCATATTGCTGAAGACTGAATAACATTTTAGCCATTACATATATACTCACTGAAGCACAGAAAGAATTCAATTTTTTATTTGCAATATCCATAACTATTCTCTATTTCTATTCAGAAAGGTAATTTCTCTCTAGAACATTGTTAACAGAACAACAAACTTTAATTCTACTGTGTGAAAGGGCTTTAGATACATCAAGAAGACTACAGAGATTTTGATTTTACAGCTGGCCTCTGGGTTCACCTAGCACAAAAACTAAGCATCAGGTACCTTAAGTTTTTAATCGTAGGAATCTACTTGAGTGTTTCAAATTTTTCATTTCAGCCAATGTCCAGGAATGCTGACAAGATGTGAGATTGGCCATCTAGTGCAGGCATGGGCAAACACTGGGTCTCCAGGTGGTTTAGACTTGCAACTCCCACAATTTCTAACAGCCTGCCGACTGTTAGGAATTGTGGGAAGTCCAATACCTGGAGGCCCAAAGTTTGCCCATGTCTGATCTAATGGCATAAAAGACCTGATTTGATCTCTTGAAATTGTGCTTGTTCACTAGTCTGCCAGCAGATGGCACCCCAAAGGATACCTGGCCCCCTTTATTAGAACACTTAAGCCAAGGACCCCACTTGAAATGATTACCTATGCAAAGTATTTATTAGAGAGCACACCCTCCCCTAAAATGGATCATTTACAGGCAAAGGCAATAAATAACAGAACATGGAACTCAGCAATTTGAAAGTACGAACACTTAAAAGATATTTTAAAGCACGTGTATTAAACGTGGAAGAATAAACTGATGGAGAACTCGCTATACAAAGACAGAGCAGCTGCGCCAGCAACGTAACAGTCCAGTTACAAAATAGTGGATTTACAAGTTTTAACTTCACCCCCAAAGGACAGTTCAAAAACTTGTCTGTTACACTTAAGTACTAAGAAGTCCAGTACAATGGAGCAGCAAAAAGGTGAGGGGTTTCTTCCCCTAGGAATGAAGCATTTTACTCTAGAAACCAATGTAAAGGTTTAGCTAAAAATGACTTCTAAGATTCCAAAACCTTTGTGTTGTCAAAGCTTTCATGGCTGGAATCACTGGGTTGCTGTGAGTTTTCCGGGCTGTATGGCCATGTTCAAGAAGCATTCTCTCCTGACGTTTCGCCCACATCTATGACAGGCATCCTCAAAGGTGGTGAGGTCTATTGGAAACTAGGCAAGTGAGGTTTATATATCTGTGGTAGGTCCAGGGTGGGAGAAAGAAATCTTGTCTGCTTGAGGCAGAAGTGAATGCTGCAATTGGTCACCTTGATTAGCATTTAATAGCCTTACTGGTTGCTGCCTTTAAAAACTCTAAAACCCAGACAGTAAATAAAGAGAAACACTAAAAAAAAACTAGGGGAATTCCAGACAAGAATAAATCAGGGCCAGCTAACACCTCCCAACAAAGGATTCCCCAGGCTGCAACCAGCCAGGCTTTGAAGCTGCGAAGCCATTAAATGCTAATCAAGGTTGCCAATTGCAACATTCACACTTGCCTGAAGCAGAGAAGAGTTATTTCTCCCACCCTGGACATCCCACAGATATCTAAACCTCATACCCCTGAACTGCTGAGGATGCCTGCCATAGATGTGGGTGAAACGCCAGGAGAGAATGCTTCTGGAACATGGCCATAGAGCCCAGAAAACTCACAGCAATTCAGAAGCCTTTGTTTGAACTGTATGGGATGCACTCTAGGAAAAAAAGACATGTAAAAGTCAATGAACACAATGATTTATTTAAAAAATAAAAATGTAAAAACGATTTCCCCCCCCCCGCCCCTCTGCCCCCGCCCCTTTTACAGTCATGGAATCAAAGGGTAATTCTGTAGAAAAAAAACGGTGTCGGTATCCAAGTCCTTACAAAGGTAATTCCCCCCTCCCCTCCCCTCATCCCCCCCCAATTTTGACTCCAGAACCAACACCAACTTTCCCCTTCCCGCCCCTTCAAAGAAATCCAAATTAAAACAGTATCTTGTTCCTAGTATAAAAAACTACTAATGTCCAAGCAATAAAAAAATAGAGTCCATCAATGACTTGAGAAACGAAAACCGTCGAGTGTGAGAAAGAGAGAGAGGGAGAGAGAGAGAGAGGCCCAGTTCATCATCATCATCATTCTTCTTCTTCTTCTTCGCAGAGGGAGGGGCGACTCCTTGGCCGGCGGCTGGAAGGGGAGGGCGGGGAACGGGCTGAAAAAACCGGGACAAACGGAGGGCAGGCTCCATGCAAACCAAACGTGACATCCCCCCACAACGGTAGAAGGGAAACTCCCGCTTAGAAAGAGCCGCCGCCTCCGTATCCGCCTCCTCCCCCGCCATAACCGCCGCCTCCTCCACCTCCTCGGTAGGGTCCACTGTTACTCCGTGGGCCCCAGCCGCCACCTCCTCCTCCACCGCCGCCGCCGCCTTTCATGGGGCCATAAGAGGACTGGTGCTGGCTGTAGCTGCCGAAGCCGCCATAGCCGTTGCCATAATCGCCCCCTCCGCCGTAGGATCCATACGAGCCGTAGCCGCCGCCTCCGCCGCTGCCTCCTCCTCCGTAGCCTCCGTAGCTGTTATATCCGCCTCCTCCTCCGCCGCCGCCTTTGGAGAGGCCGTTGTGGTCCCGGTTGCCGCCGCCTCCTCCTCCTCGTCCTCTGCCCCGCCCGCCCCATCCCGACCGGGCCGGGCCTCCTCCTCCTCCGGGCCCTCCTCCTCCTCCGCCTTGGATGTCCTCCTTGGGCACGGCCTTCTTGACCTCCACGCGGTGTCCCTGGATGGGGTGGAACTTGACCACGGCGGCCTTGTCGGCGGCGTCGTGGTTCTGGAAGTAGACGAAGCCGAAGCCGCGCTTCTTGCCGCTCTGCTTGTTGGCGATGATCTCTGCCTTCTCGACGGGGCCGAACTGGCTGAAGTGCTGGACGAGGTCGCTCTCGGCCAGGTCCCCCTTGAGGCCGCCCACGAAGAGCTTCTTCACCTTGGCGTGGGCGCCCGGCCGGGCCGAGTCCTCGCGGGAGACGGCGCGCTTCAGCTCCACCGCGTTGCCGTCCACCGCGTGCGGCGAGGCGGCCATGGCGGCGTCCGCCTCCTCCACCGCCGAGTAGGTCACGAAGCCGAAGCAGCGGGAGCGCTTGGTCTGCGGGTTGAGCACCACCACGCAGTCCGTCAGCGTCCCGTAGGCCTCGAAGTACTCCCGCAGGCCCGCCTCCGTCGTCTGCACGTTCAGCCCGCCGATGAACAGCTTGCACAGCTGCGAGCTCTCCATGGCGATGCCCACGCCGCCGCCTCGCCCTCCGCCGCCGCCCTCCGCTTCGGCCCCCGCGGGCGCTAGGCTACGACCCGGCCGCTGGGCCTCTCTCTCCACCGGCGGCGGGAGAAGGGGGTGGGGAAGAGGGAGCGCACAAAATGGCGGCCGCGGCTTCCCCTCCTCTTCCTCCTCGCTCGCAGCCGGCGACTGGGCCCCGCACACAAAGGAAGCGCCGAGGGGCCCGCCCACCCCGCCAAGCGCCGGCCACGCCCACCTCCCGTCGCTCTCTTGGACTGGCGCCCCTCGCGGCCAATCGCCTTCCCCCTTGGAAGGCCAAGGGCGGAGACACCCGCTCAGTGACAACCTCGCCGCCCAATCACTTTCAGTTTTAGGCCCGCGCACTCTGAAAATATCTCCGAGATGGAGCCAATCACCTTCTCCCGGGACGCAGAGCGGCAGTAAGTGGCACCTTCACCAGCCAATCACATTCAGTTGTAGGCGCGCGCAACTAGAAGAGGTGGGTTTATACATTTATACAGCCGGATTGAAGGGACGTCAGCGATCCGAGGCGCTGGCCAATAGGCGGCCTCGGTGGCGGCTGCGCGCGCTTTCTCCCTCCGCTCCCCTTTCCGCACAGCGTCGCGGTGGCAGCGAGGCTCATTTGAAAAGCTGGGCGGGCGCGACCGTTACGAGGCACACTCGCCTCCCTTCCTGCTTCCGAGTGGGCAGCGTGGGCTCCTTTCCACAGGAAGCGACCCCACTGTGTTCCCTGAGGCCCACTTGTTTTGTGTGTGTGTGGTGGGGGGGGGGGGGGGGTCACGCAATATGTTTTCCTCGTGATCCGGAAGTCGATGCTTGCCCTTCACCCCAAGCAGAAGCCCCATTGGGAAACGTTTTATAGACGAAACAGCAAGATGGCCACATGAATACTACTTTCAGAAAGAAGATCCTAGTCAGTGTGACAGACGTTGAAGAAGGCCATGTATCTGTATTGGCATCGGCTGGGTTTGTGAACCGGATCCCAAAATCAAGTCCCAATGTATATAATGCGTGGGGTGTCAGAATCACCGATTGCCATAGAATCATAGAGTTGGAAGAGACCTCGTGGGCTGTCCAGTCCAACCCCCTGCCAAGAAGCAGAAAGATTGCATTCAAAGCACCCCTGACATTCATCCTCATATTAAAAGCTTCCAAAGGAGCCTCCACCACACTCCGGGGCAGAGAGTTCCACTGCTGAACAGCTCTCACAGGAAGATCTTCCTAATGTTCACGTGGAATCTCCTTTCTTCTAGTTTGAAGCCATTGTTCTGTGTCCTAGTCTCCAGGGCAGCAGAAAACAAGCTTCCTCCCTCCTCCCCACATTCCTAAGCAAGAGCCCCCAGTGGCGCAAGGCAAACCCTTGTGCCGGGCAGGACTGAAGACCGTCAGGTCAGAGGTTCGAATCAGTGGAGAGCACAGATGAGCTCCCTCTGCCAGCTCTAGCTCCCCATGTGGTGACATGAGAGAAGCCTCCCACAAAGGTAGTAAAACATCAAAGCATCCGTCGTTCCCTGGGCAACGTCCTTGCAGATGGCCAATTCTCTTACACTAGAAGCGACTCCTGACACACACACACTCCCTAAAAGAACTCTTCGCCTTGTGCAATTGTGGAGCAGACCAAACAAATCCACATCTGTATGCTTGTCCACTATGCCCTGCCTCATGTACAGAGGAGGAATTGTTGGAGGCTACAGACAATGCTGTTGTTTGTTTTTTAAAATTGATTTTTATTAGGAAAATTTCACTGTATACAACAAGTATAAAAGGGGGGGGGGGGTTAGAATATACATAAAGAGTTAAAACCGGGAGGGGGGGAAAGGTATGAACAGGGTAGTGTGGGATTGACAGGGTAGGGGGAGGGGTGCCCTATCTGACATTCAGCTAAGTCTAGGGTCGGGGGTGGGGAGAGGGAAGGAGGGAAGGGACAAGAGGAAAGGTGGTTTATATAGGGGTTTGGCTTCCGATTCCTATATTCCGCGTTCTTGAATTCATTTCTTCTGGTCAGACTCGTTTCGTGGTTTTTCCCTTGTCACTCTTATTTATCTCTTGTATTTTGTTCTACTCTCATCTCTTTATGGTTCTAGTCCTCTCTCATAAATTCATTTAATGGACTCCAGTCTGTTCTCTTGAGAGGGCGTCCATATGAGTCTTTTAGTGCATAGGTTAGCATATCCATTTCTCTTATCTCTAGAACGTTTTCCATCCATTCTTCTTCGGTTGGTATTTCTTTTGATTTCCATTTCCTGGCATATACTAATCTTGCCGCTGTCGTGAGATAAGTGAGGAGTATGTCTTTGTTTGTGCTCAACTTCCATTCCTCCTTAAATATTCCTAGTAGGAAGCATTCTGCTTTCTCGTGGATCTTGATTTTGAGAATCTTTTCACAGGTTGCATTCACCTTTTTCCAAAAATTCTGGGCAATGGGGCATGACCACCATTGATGAAAAAGAGTTCCAATCTGGTTTTCGCATTTCCAACACTTGTTACAATTCTTTTTGTACATTTGTTCCAGTTTCTGGGGTGTCATGTACCAACGGTAGAGCTTTTTGTACCAGTTCTCTTTTAGTACTATGGAGTAAGTATATTTGATCTTCTTAGTCCATACTTGTTCCCACTCCTGAAGCATTATTGGTCTGCCGATGTTCTTTGCCCATTTTGCCATGCAGTCTTTAATTAATTCTGATTCTGTTGCCCCTTCTAATAATTTGTTGTAGATGGATGTTATGCTGTTGTTGTTGCCCGTTTTTGGTCAAAAGATATTTAGCCACCTGCGCTCCTTTTATTTTTATCAGTTTTACACTAATTTATGCAATGCTTTTGATATGAAATAAAAAGTTATCCTAGAAATATTTTTTTCTTTTGCCTGAGAGACTATGACTAGGCATTTCTAGATCCTTATGACTCATGAACAACTTCCCCTGGAAGCTGATCCTCAGTTTGGAGGATCAAATTCTAAAGAGAATATTTTAATCAAATCCGCAAAAGTCAAAACTGTAAATATGGAGTACCAGCACAAATCCTGAAATCACTGGGTTATCAGTCTGGAAGAATGAGCAGGCTCTGTTAGCCCACAGGTTCTTAGACCCTAGATCAGGGGTCCTCAAACTTTTTTTTAAACAGAGGGCCAGGTCACAGTCCCTCAAAGTATTGGAAGGCCAGATTATAATTTGAAAAAAAACATGAATGAATTCCCATGTATACATCTTATTTCTAATGCAAAAAAAAAAAAACACTTTAAAACAATAGAATAATTAAAATGAAAAACAATTTTAACAAATATAAATTTATTAGTACTTCAATAGGAAGGGTGGACCTGCTTTTGGCTGATGAGATAGGATTGTTGTTGTTGTGTGCTTTCAAGTCATTTCAGATGTAGGTTGACCCTGAGAAAGGGCCGAGTAAATGAACTTGGAGGGCCGTATCTGGCCCCCAGGCCTTAGTTTGAGGAATCCTGCCCTAGATTATAGTGATGTCTGCGGGGGGGGGGGGGGGCCGTCCAGGGGGCCTCAAGGCATCTCAACCCACCTCTCTGCCATGTTGAAGCAGCCATGTGATGAGCTGAGGCAGAGCTGACCAAATCATGTGTCACAACATAGTGTGTCGGCTGCAGTGTAGCTGCGCCACATGAATGTAACACGAACTTCTGAAATAAGCAATAAACCATATTTCTTAAAAGTATATCAATGAAAGGTTTTCATGACATTTTTTGTGTTCCCATACATTTCATTATTGCAATTTGTGTAATATCTTATGAGCCTTTGATTTAACTGCCAGTTTGCAAGTAAAACTGAATTGCTGTGTCGCAAAATGATCAGTGTCTAAAACAGTGTCACCAGCATTAAATGTTTGGAAAGCTCTGAGCTAAGGTGAAGGCTGGCTATGGATGTACATTGTCTCTGCAAATAATAATAATAATAATAATAATAATAATAATAATAATATGGTGGGCTGAGTGGCTGATTGCCACTGTGGCTTGCCCCTTCAGAGTCAGGTTGGGAAAAGGTAGTGGCATCCATGGACTCTTTCCCCAGAAGGATGTGCAGGGCAGTGTTAGAGTTCCTAAATTGGGTCTTCTTAGGTCCACGTCGCGGGAGCGCGAAAGGAAGGAGACAGTCCCAATGAAATATCAAAAAAACCAAGGTTTTATTTTTAATTTCTTCATGAAGAAGATGGACAGCCAGGCAACATACGCAGATGCTACCCTTCAAGTGACTGCCCTGCTCTTCCCTTGAAATCTGCAAACTTTATAGCCCAGTGCAAACAAAAAGGGAAAGTACCACTGCCTGACTACAACAATTTTAACCTTTAACAAAAGAAAACATTTTCTTTTCATGGAAAGTACTCTCTTTCCAGCCCCTCTCCCTTGACCTTTTGATGGAAAGTACCTTTTTGTACTACAACCTTTGAAGTCAACCACAACGCATACTGTGTAAGAAAGTACCTTCTTGTTCTTAAAAACATTTTCTTACGTATTGCTCTTTTTAAGTCAGAGAAAGGGTATGTTTCTCTTTTGCTGTTAATTTCATTCAGAGCCCCTTGCTTAATTTCACTCAGAGACCCTTGAAGCCTCCTTCATTAGCAGAGGGGAGGGAAAGTGAACAGACAGTGAGCACTCCTCCCCACTTCTGCTTCCCCCTCTCTTCACATTACCTCCCCAGGGTTGTACATCCTGTATAGGGGGGCACTCGACATCCCCATTCCCATCAGAGGAATCAACTTGAACATGAACAACATTGTCATTCCCATCATCCAAAGCAACCTGATCATTAGACACAATCACAGGCTGACATACAACACTGCCTCACTCCCTGCCCATGTTGTCTGATGATGCACTCCCTGCCTGTGCTGCTGCTCTCTGATTCCCTAGTTTGATGAGGAGAATCATGTATGAGATCTCCTTATTGTCCCTTCCTCATCACCAGGCAATGAATCCCTTTCCCCCTCTTCCAGGCCGTCAACAGCTCCTTGCAAACTCACATTGTGAGTTGTATGCACATGTATATGCAGCTCTTGGGGAACAGGGTTCCCCTCTTTTTATTTGGTTTTGCAGATTTGAAAAGAGTATCACCAACAGACAAGTGTCCTCAAGATCCTTTTCAGTCTACTGATTAAGCCCCGGCCTACTGAGTACAGTCCCACCATCTGCACAGGGAGCGAAGTAGA